CCACCGGCCCGGCCCCTCCCTCCCTCCCTCTCTCCACAGAGCGGGAGGTGGGGCTCTACCTGCCGGTGTCTGCCCTGCGCCGAGCCCCCACGCCACCCACCGGGGGGGGCTTTTTGTTGGTTTTTCTTCTTATTATTATCGTTAATTTTTTCCTCCCCTGTCGACCAAGATGGGACGGCCTCTGCGTAAGCAAGGGAGAGCCGCGGCGCTGCCCAGCCGCCTGGGTCTGGCGGGCGGGGGCAGGTACCTCCGCGCTTCAGGAGAAGTACGCGTGAGACAGCTTTTACTAGAAGTCTGCCCTTCGTGCTATTTTAAGCTCCAGAGGTCTACACGTACCCACTTTCGTTCTCCCTCGATTTGACTAGGTAGAACAGTAGAAAAACAACAATTAAAATGACTCACGCGTCCCAGAATATCGATTAAAACCCGATTTAAAGCGCTTACTCCCAAACCTCAACCACTGTACTGCTTTACTTGATAGGACCAATTCGGGAGTTGCGGAGTTGTGATTTTATCCCTTGCCAGGGTCTCCTAATCCGCGCTTGAAAAGGGAATTGGGAAACACATTTCTGTTTCTTCCTTCACATAAAATCTTCCCCCTCTCCCTAAGTAACAGCAGGGAAGCTCACAAGAGCAGGGCAAGGCAGGCAGCGTTCCCTAACTCGATGCCTCTTTCGCAGCACGGTAAGAAAACGGGCGCTGATCTTGCGCCGGGCAGCACGCAAGCGACCATCCGGGAGCACGCTGGTGATGGAAGGAGGATTGGTATAGCAATTAGCGGACCCTGCACCCCATTTTTTTTTCTTCGGATCCAAGTCAGCGTGCTGGCTGAAGGAAGGACATCCTGTGATGATGGCATACAATGTCCTGTTTGTTTATTATTAAGAGCATTCCTGCTTCTCATTACAAAACAACCAGATGCCTTACTTCCTTCAGTGGTCCTGTCTCTTCAGCGAGGCGTCCTCGGGCTCAGAGGAACAGTGATGCACAATTCCATTTATAGCCATCTACAGCCCAGCGCGAATGCTAGCTGCTTCACTGCGAAGCCACTCTACTACTTTTCCTTCTTCTCACACGTCTGCAAGCGTATTTCTCATCGCTTTCCCAGCACTTCACGTGGCAGCTAGTTTCACATTCTTACTCTAAACACACACGCAGTTATAGTTTGGGGTGATCTGGGTGTTACACATTTCTTCACAGGAAAAAGGGAGGAAGAAAAAAAAGCATGGTTTATGCAATTGGGAGCCTGTCCTCTCTGACACACATCCCTTTCCCTTAACCTGCTCCTCCGCGCTCTGATAAAAAGATGTGTGGAAAGGATTACTTGCCATTTTCAGTCTGAGATGCTCAGAATAGTTTATCTCTGTAAAGACCTTCCGTATGCGCTAACACAGGAGGGCTTGTGGCAGCAGACATAAGTAGGGCAACTGCTTGCAAGTGAGTGTCCTGGCTTAACTTCCACCACAGCATAATTCCACACGAGAGGTAGCCCGAGCACTGGGCTGAAGGATATAAATGTAATTGGATATACCCAGTAAAACTGAGGCACATCCAAAATGAGGTCTAGGAAGGCTCTGAAGTAGGAAGAACCATTCATTAAAGGAGAGAAATCCGGCCTACTTGATTGGGTTAATTAAGTGATGCTGAGTCACACCGCATAGAACAGAAAAACAATGTAGTCATACTGAAGGTGATTATTTTACCGAAAAATAGTCTCACTCCGAGAGGCAGCTGTTTTAGAGCTTTTCACTTCCCTGTTAGCTTGAAAGTAAAAAAAAAAAAAAAAAAAGGTCGGGGGGGGGGGGGGACAAGAAAAAAGGGTTGATATGTTTCCTTCAGGGGCTGGTCTTCTTAATGTGAAGGAGACCAGAAGAAAAGCAAATCTGCCTTTCAAGGAACTGAGAATGCTTTTGGGCTGGAGAAGAAGAAGCAGCAGCAGCAGACATTAGATTAGATCGGATCAGATGAAGTGAAGTATTTGTCAGGACAACAGGAGGATGCCAATATCCCAGATCAGTGTGGCTCTCTCCCTGGAGCCTGGGGAGGCGAGTACAGCCTATGAAGCCTACAGACTTCAAATAACTCCGTGGCACACTCCGAGGCTATCCTGAAATTAGCTCCAGGTGTCTCAGTGAAGCTGAGCCCAGCACTACTGTAGTGCAGGAGAGGGGATTTCGGTGGCGTGCAGGTCTAGCCTAACGGTGCCTGATCTGGAATAAAACTAAGTTTATCAAGAAAGAAGAGACAGAAACAAATTGTTAAGAATGTGTACTAAAGTAAGAATCACAAAGGAAACTCTGCCATTAAAGAAATATATAGACTGACCTTCTGACCTTCCTCCTTAATAGAGAAACATAAAAAGATGCCCTGTTCAACCAGAAGTTTTCTGCTCTTTTATAGAAATCTTTCATACCAGTAGCCACTATTGTCTGGAATGTGCAATCTCAAAATGTTGTTCATTTCAAAAAGAACATTTTTAGTCATATTTTCATTTTTTCCTTCTCGCTCATAGAAAACCTCAATTACTGTATTAATCAGCATTTCTCAGGCAGCTCTCTCTGCAGCAGCTTTCAGCCTGGCAACAAATCATGAATGGCCCTAACAGCTCTGATCTCAGAAATCCCCATCCATTTCCTTTGATGCTATCGCCACTTCAGCTCAACAACAAGCCTGCGCAACTCAGCCTCAGCTGCTGCTGCTGCTGCTGCTGCTGTTCTCCCTGTGCCTGCTGTAATTCTAAGGGGAAGAAGGAGGGAAGGGAGCTGGCTCTAATAGATGAAACTTCTTTAGAAAGTTGGAGGGGAGATAAAATGCACACGAGATTAAAGCAGAGTCTCATTTTCACATCCTCCCCTTCCCCTTACCCAAACAAGGTCAGTGGCAGATTGACCACATCAAGAGTAACTACCAGACCCACCCCCATTTCCCACTTCCTGCATGTAGGCATCCTTGTGCTGGTAAACATTTGGGGACCAGTTGTGGTCATTACTCGGAGAAGGTACATGATGTAGTTGCACGACTGCACATCTTTTAAAAGCCAACCGAGAAATCAAACTCAAAGAAGAACTTGCTTTCAAGTTCTGCTGAGATACACTCCTGTTTTGGGGCCATGTTTCTGAAAACGTGGTTGCTGTCAGATTCAAGGGAAAGAGGGGGATCCAGCACGCTCTAGTGACTGTGCAACAGGAAAAGTTACAGCCGCCTTCTCACAGACTGGCCTGACCTTTGCAAAGCACAGCCTATAGGCTTCAGATACGATCTCAGAGGCTTTATATGCCCTGGACGACTTCAGCATGGTATTGCCTATAAGGAGAGAAATTAAAATTGCACTTGAATCTACATGAAGGTTTTTGGAAGGGCATTTGGGGTGGTGTATGTTGTAGCCAGGAGGCTTTTGAATTAACACATGCAGCTTTCAGGGACTGCCTTTAATTACAGAGCACCCTGGTCATTGCCTCGTAGCACTTCCAAATGCCTTTATGTTTATTTTTGTCTCAGCTGTGCAATACCAAGAGCAGATCTTTTGGCTGCACTCTCAGCTACTGCCTAGTGCAAGCCTTAACATCTCTTTTGATTTCTGTTGTTTTATCCTCTCAAGAAATTTTCCTTAAAAAGAGAAAAAAGGAGTCAAACTAAAATACCATATCCCTTTTTGTTTCCAGCTAGGCCTTATTAAAATACTGCTCAGATGACTTATGAATAAGCCAAAAACAACCCTCCTCCAATGGAAAAAACATTCTTGCAGCACACAGAAGCAAGAACTAAGCTTCAGCCGTTTCCTCTTGTTGAGGCTTGAGTTTGAGAAGAAGGAGCCGAGGCTGTGTGGGTCTGCTATCAGGAGGGCAAGAAGTCACTGTGAGAAGTTAGGCTTCTCTTCGCTGTGAAAGCAGCTGAGCAGCAAAGGCGAAACAGGCTGAAGCCACTCGCTCTTGTCTCCCAGGAAGCAAGCTGGGGTGAAGGTATTGAGAAAGCAGCAGCAGCAGAGGCTTTGTCACTACACTTCTTTTCATTGTGGGAAAAGGCAGCAGACTTCACGGTCTGGACTAAACGTAGGGAGTCATCTCCTCCTCCCTTATGAGAAGGGAAGTGCCTCACAGTGAAGACCACAGCTGTTCCCCTCTTGGTTACCATCAGCCTTCCCATCACACTTTTGAGCGATGGTGGTCTTGGGAAAGGTTGGGATGATAGCCATGAGCCCATACAACAGCACTTGTATTGTCTTTGCATGTTTCTGCCAACCCAAGTTTATACCGGACAAGAAAACCTGAGCACAAAAATCAGCCTGCCACATCTCAAACACGGACTTTTGCATACTCTGTCCATAGCAACTGAGTCTGAGGAAAAATGAACGAAAACCAGGCCAACCCATTCCAACCACTTTCCAACCTTACTGGTGACAGAGGACTGACAAAAGGGTGTTCTTTGGGAAATCTTCCTTTAAAATAGGCTGATTTGCAGATTGTTATGGAGGAGGGATGGGACGGTATACATATGTTAGAAGGCTGACTCCTGTTAATATTTCAAAGACATCGGCCCCACAACAAGCTCACAACAATCTGAAATAATGAAGCCACCTCAGAATTAATTGCATTAATTCAACTTTCATGTCTCTTCCCAACTTGGCAGTCATGACACTTTTTGGGGTATTCTCTCCTCAGCCTGCCTGGTTAAGTCATAGTGATATGAACCATGGTGGAACTTCGGTCTCTGTTCCTGCACAATTCAGTTTTCATTTCAGATACTCTCCAGGCCACCCAATCTCGTGGAGCTGATGAACACAGCAGAAGGAGGATGAGACCCATGGGTGGAACCACGCCACTTTTCTCAGACAAAGAACTGGCCACAGAGTGCGTTTCAAAACAGATTAACAAAAACAACAGCTACACACCATGACAAAGCGCATATGGTGGAAACGAAAATATTTACCCACAGATTATCACAGATGCAGCAATGCACTACCGTGCATCTAGGACCACAGGATTCGAAACAGTGACTGTATGTTTAGAGCTGATTAGGCAATCTGGCAGGGGAGGGCCGAAGGACCACTTTTTAAGCTTCTAAGAGTACAGTTGTCATTTCTCCACCTTTCCTACTCCAGGGTGGTGAAATAACAGTCTTTTCATACCTGTGTGTTGGCTGGGGGAGGGAAGAATTCCTCTGCTATTAAACACAACTTCTCATTAAATAGTTGACACCTTATCCTTCTTTAAATGTTGTAATGTTTACTTTGCAAAACCCAGGAAAGCTTTTAAAATAAAGATAGCTGAGAGATTCTTAAGCCGGGTGTCCTTCCTTATCTGCTCTTTATCAACCAGCTATTGTTTCTGGAGGAGCTCGTTGGGGAAGGTGGAGCAAAGGGGGTTAATGTTCAATAGGTGTCTATCAGTTCCCCTGAAGGAATAGCGCTGCTGACAGAATGGCAACACTGGGCTCTCAGCTACTTCCTGCAGAATGTGACAAACCAGAGAGAAAAAACGAGGGCTGCAGCTACTTCTTTTTTTTTTTTTTTCCTTTTTTTTCTCCCTCTCCCAAAACAACTAGTTTTAAGAAAGACATTGTCCTTAGGAGAGATAATCCCACAATAGAGAGTCCATTAGAGGTATTAAAGCATTGGCAGCGCCTGATCTACAAGAAGGGCTCTGTCCTGACAATAGACAATTAAAGCTGATAAATCTGCACTACTTGTTGCCGTTCTAATTCCTCGTAATTGTATGCTACTTGTCCCTGCCTCCTGCGTCCAGGGATGAAGCATGCTTCTTTAATCTCCAGAGTACCTGACCTAGTTCCTATATGGTCTTTTCAGGACCTGTTTTCTTCCCATCTGGACTTCTTCCCTCCTACTCTCCTTTCCTGCTTCCCTCCCCTAAGCATTAAGAAGAGGTTACGATAGAGGGCACGGAAAACACCAGAGCACAGCACCCGGATCAATAATTCTGGAGCCCCAGACAATGCACTAATCTGCAATAACAGCTAATCATGGTCAATTTGGCACACCAGTGATTAAACTGTACTTTTCATTAGGCTCAACAAGTAGAGCAGACGCACACTGACAATTCACATTGCCCTATCAGTAAGAGCTGCCAAACTCGTGTGCACTTCTGCATTTGTAGCTGCTGCATCACTAGTCTTGCCAGACTAGGCGCTTTGTGGGGGCTTATCTTTTTTCTTTTGACATTTTACAGACTGGAACTCTTAGTTGTGTTTTCTGTAAAAAGCAAGCCCCTGCCTCACTTTACTACCATGAGTTCTCCTAGTTAAAGGGCTCAGTGGGTGAAATTGTGATATGCTGTGCAGGACACTGAAAAACAATCATTGCAATTACATGTTTCTGGTGCCGACAATATTCTTGGTTTTATTTTACGTCTCAAAAGATATTTGGTGGTTTTCCTCAAATTTTTTTTTAAGAAAGCTTGGAAGCCTGGTGACAGAGCAGAAGCATGAAAATGCGCATCACAGGACTTAAAAGATGGAAAACAAGTAAAAATTACCTTTTATCTATATTTTTCAAACTGAACTGTTCAGCCAACCTCACAAAACATCTGGAGACTGAAGAATGATTTGGGTTTTCTCTTTTCACCCCTGAACTTGTGAACAAGCCACTACTTTGTCCACCTTAGAAATCTACACGGTTATTAACCCTTACATGCCATTTTGATAGCAACCTTCCCATCACCCTCATAGAACAATTTCTTCCGACAACAGTTTCTTCTGGTTACAATCGTACCTAGTGGACCCGTTTCGCAAACTGCCCTGAAAGCCTCACCCAAGAGTTTACCACAATCTTTCTCTAAAGCATAGCACCAAATTCCAGGACTCCTAGAGACCGACCCCACGCGCTCAGGGTCTCCTTCTGTTTAACTTTAGCTTATCATCTTTGTATTAACTTGAATAAATGTTAAAACTGCACTCCAGGTTGCTCTTAAAAAAAAAAAAAAGGGAAAAAAACCCAGCGTGGAAGATGTCAGACGAATGCAGGAAATGTCTATTCTACTATTAATATTAATGAATCCCTAATGCATTTGCAACCCACTTGAGGTAAGTTAGTAGAGTTCTTCTCCTGACAGCTATTCCTCATCAAACTACCACTGCTAAAGATGTTGATGCTTTCCCTTTTGCTTTGTAATCTTTAAACCAACTTTAAATCACACCAGAGCCTACCACAATATAATGTATTTTATGCTAAGTGAACACAAAGCCCTGGAGACAGAGGTTTAAAACAGCGCACATGTCCGCTCAATTTATCATTTTAAGATAGGAAGCTGCCGCAACAAACAAAACACCTCCTTGAAAGTGGGACAGCAGCAGATTGCAGTGCAGAAAGCTCTGGGATCTTTTGTTTTCCTGGAGAGCAACAACGGGGCTTTGCAGAGAAACACAACAGCCTCCCCTTGCTGAAATCTACATCAGTTCATATAGGAAAGCCTGCCAACTGCTAGTTAGATGGTAACAAAATATTGCAGATAATTCACTTTTCACGATAAAGCAGAAACAAGCAGGCATGCAGCACCCAGCAGGGGCTCAACTGATAAAACGGTGTCAAACTCAAACCATTTGTCAATTGGGAGGGAAGAGAGCAAGCTGAAAGATGGACTCAGGAAGTAGATTTATCTAGTGCGACACATTAACTAGTATAAATACTAAGGAAAAAGTAAACACATTTACCCAGCAGTATCTCCAGCCAGCAAAGAAAAGGCTTCTGAGCCTCAGACCCATGCTGGCCATCTAACTCAGCTGTCAGCTACAACAGCAGTAGCATTTTTCTTCTCGTGCAGGATTGCAATGCCATTTAATTCATGGCACTAAAAGGTCTTATTAAAAGCATACATTATAATTAAGCAAAACAAAAGCGTGACTCCTCTGCTGTTCTAGACTCCTCCCTCCACCCAATAGCCAAAACAATAAAACCACCTTGGCAGCAAACAAGTCAGGTAACATACCCCGGAGAAGAGCACAGATTTGTTATATAATAATTTACTTTGCGTCTGGCTTGCTCAAAACTGCCGTATCAGAAACTTCTGTCCCGGAGACTCTGGAGGCAACGGAGGGGGCTGACAATGCAGGTCAGGCACAGTAAGTCGCCAGCAGCGTAATGTGGGGCACACAAACAAACTGCAATAACGCAGGGCAGAACGGCTCTTTGGATGTATGTTTTCCATTGGAAAGTCTAAACAAATAACACGGTCCGTGGGCAGCACATCTCTGCTGCAAACACCGGGAAGAAGGAGAACGGTTCAAAGGGATTTAGGATACCAACCCGCAGCCACATACACACACCTTGTGCTGGCAACCTGTAGTATCAAAGGATGGCACGTCACATCAGCAAACCATTCTAACACTCAATCTAACACAAATTAACAGCAAAGTAAGTAACCTGCGTCATGCCCCCCCAAAAAAGAAAAAGGAGTTAATTCATAAAGCAAAATGCAGCACAGTTCTTTGTTCAGCTGTACCTTCATGTGTCCACACAGCACAGGTCCCCCACCTCCAGCTCATGCATCTCAGGATTTTAGTCCATATGGAAAGTCTGTCACTCACTCTCACACCCTTACACACACACACGCATGCTCGCACACACACACACCACACCCGCACTCTCGCTCCCCAACACGCACTGCTGGAACCGCTCCGAGGATTTTAGAATTTCCTCTTGCTAGCAGATTCCTCCCTCCCCTCGCATCCACTCCACCCCGTTCTGTAATTAGGCTTAACAAGAGCAATTAACAAAACAAACTCCTCTCCGCCTGGTGGCCTGATAATTCTGATTGTCATAATGTATTAAGATGTGTAAGCCAGTTTAAAATAAAGGTAAATTACAACATTGCACAAGAGCCATTTTGCACCTATTTTTACTGCTTTTGTCATAGGGATAATGAACATTCAGCCACACCTTTAATTTAAAACACAAAAATGAAAACTCACGTCTGAACAGCAGAACTCAAAATTGTTGCTTTTGGACCACCGAGACTATTTTTTTTCACTCATTCATTAGAGAGCAGCTCCCTCCTCCTATGCACAGCAAACTCCACAGAAACATATTTTTCTTTTTGGAATTACTTTGTGACCCTAAAAAAATCTATGTAAAATCAAGTTTAAATGCATCTTCTGGCTTTACAGACATCCATGAATAAATGGACTGTAATTGT